GTAAAACGCCGCTTCTCATGCTGGTCTACACTGGTCTGTCCCGTAAAACGCCGCTTCTCATGCTGGTCTACACTGGTCTGTCCTGTGGTCTTCCTGTAGTGTCAGTATGTCCTGTCATCCTCCTGTAGTCATGGTCTATTGTGTAGTTTTGGCCTGTCCTGTCATCCTTCTTTATTCTTTGCGTGTGTTGCCATCTTCCTGGATTCTCAGCATGTCCTGTTGTCCTCCTGTGATATCTGTGTTTCCCGTTGCCCTCTAGCATATGTGGGCTAGGGTATCTTGCTGCCTCTCTCTACCCCACCTTCCCTGACCTGGTTAACAGTTGGATTTATTGTCCCTTTTCTCTTTTTTCCACAGGAAACTCTCCAGACCCTCCCCAAGTTCTGCTTCCCCTTCAACATGGACAGGTACCATGTCTTCCCTTCAGGGACTGGGTGACACCTTAAGGGTGATTTATGACATCAGCTGTAAATCTGAGGGCCTCATCTGAAGAAGTGTACAGGTCTAGTCAGATGTGATGCTGTAGATTGAAACGACCCCCCAGCAGCGCTTTTTAGAAGAGCGTCGTGAAATGAGCTGGTGGAGAATATTGTCCCCTTAAGCAGATGAGTGGAATTGTTTATAATATTGTCCAATTTTGCCAACATCCTGTTTTCCGCTACTGCCTCCAGTGGGACCAGTGTCAGTCCTGTGATGGGACTGGCCGTCCTGATCAGTTTAAGGCGTTTGGCATCACCTGATGACATCACATGATGACATTGCATGATGCCAAAGGTCACAGTGTAGAAAAGAACTACAGCCTGATAAAACATAGTGAGCAGCTTGCTGCACACATCAGAAGACCTGAGCCTCCTCAGAAAGTGGTCTGCTCTGGTCTTTCTTTGTCAGTGCCACTGTGTTGTCCACCTAATCCAGACCCCCAGACACCACTTCCATTTCCTCCCCCTGGATGGTGACTGATATCAGAGGCTCTCTGTTACACTGGAAATCCACCACCAACGTTAGCTTATCAAGTTTCTCCAACAGTGAGGATGAGGATGTCCCACAGGGACTGGGCAGTCCCCCTGTCTCTGAGTGTCCCCGTCTCTGAGTGTCCCCGTCTCTGAGTGTCCCCGTCTCTGAGTGTCCCCGTCTCTGAGTGTCCCCGTCTCTGTGTGCGTCCCCCATGTGTCCCCCGTCTCTGTGTGCGTCCCACATGTGTCCCCCGTCTCTGTGTGCGTCCCACATGTGTCCCCCGTCTCTGTGTGCGTCCCACATGTGTCCCCCGTCTCTGTGTGCGTCCCCCAAGTGTCCCCATCTCTGTGTGCGTCCCACATGTGTCCCCCGTCTCTGTGTGCGTCCCCCAAGTGTCCCCGTCTCTGTGTGCGTCCCACATGTGTCCCCCGTCTCTGTGTGCGTCCCACATGTGTCCCCCGTCTCTGTGTGCGTCCCCCGTCCGTGTGTCCCCCGGGTCTCTATCTTTCCATGTCTATCCCCTTGGCCCTGTCTGTGCATGTGTGGGTCTCTGTCTTTCCATGTGTGTCCCCTGTGTCTCTGTGTATTCTCGCATGCTCCCATCCGTGTATCCCTGTGTGCAGACGCTGTCCCCAATGACTGACCCGCAGCTTTGGTTCCTGGATCCTACTCTCCTTAGGCTTGCCTATGCATGCCAGGCTGTAAGAGTCGAATGCACAACTTCATAGCCATGGCAGGGGCTGAGGTCTGTGGATGCCCCCCCACCCATCATAGCCATGGCAGGGGCTGAGGTCTGTGGATGCCCCCCCCATCATGGCCATGAATGTGCATGAGCTCCCTCGCTGTCCTCACTAAAGGAGTAACCATGCCCCCCGTCTCTGACTGCGCAGCCCGACCATGACCCAGGTGGGCCAGAACTTCACCTTTGTGCTAACGGACATCGAGAGCAAGCAGAGATTTGGCTTCTGCCGCCTGTCTGCTGGGGCCCACAACTGCTTCTGCATCCTCAGGTGAGTGAGGCCCCGCCCAGTGGGTTTGTCCCTACCCTCGTACCGCGACAGGACTGGCTGGGCCTCTTCTACCTCTGTACCACCCCCATTCAGGCTAGGCCTTTGTTTCATCCCCCCTCCCTTTCTCTCTCTTTTTCTCTCTCTGTTCCCAAAGGGGTACAAGCAGTGATTTAATTGAGCTGAAGCAGGCAGGGATCAGAAATATCTTAAGGGATTAGAGGGAATTTTTGGGCCTGGTGCAGCCTGGAGCCAGGGTGTGGGGGAGGGGGGTAGGTGGTCGGAGCTGGGAATGAATGTAGTTAGGGTGACCTCTGACCCCTCGGCATGAAAGCCGGCCAGAGCTTGCCCATACTACGGCCTTTGTTGACATCATTCACAGCTCCTGACAAACTCTGAAAGTCGCCAGCTCTGATCTTTGGAATGTGGAACTCTTTCCCCGCCGGTAACCTCCCCCCCCCAGCCTCTCGAGCAAAAGGCCCTCAGCTCAATCAGCCCTGACAGCTCCCGGGCTTCGGGCTGCCAGCTAGCACAGCAGAGGATCATGGGATTGGGATGGGGGGTGCCCACAGACTGCCTACCCCTGGGGTTTGGATGTCCCCACAATGTAATAAAAACCTGACATTTTTACCTTTATGGTAAAAAATCTGTCAACGAAATCAGAAAAATAACATACCCAAAAGTCCTGTATTTTGTTTGGTTGCTTATGGTTAGGGTTAGGGCTGGGAAGGGGTTAAGGTCGTCATAGTTGGGATTTGGGTTTTTCCCATAGTTATGAATAGATGGTCCTTACAAAGATGTTAATATAAATGTGTGTGTGTGTGACAACCTTGTTTGAACCAGGAAGTAAGCAGGGCAGTCCTGGTCTGCTCCTCATTCTGTCTGACTGCCAGCCCCCTGCTGAGAGCAGTCTATGTCCTGGAAGCTCCCCTGGGTGAGAATGTGAGGTAGTTTAACCCAGACTCTCAGCCTCCTTCTGTGTGCTGCCTCCTTTCTATGAGTCTGCAGAATAACAGAGGGCAGCCCCCCAGCTCACCCCCTGTCTGCCTCCCCTGCATTTGTTCCTCCTGGATCCATGAGAATTGCTGTTTAGTCTAGCTTTAGCTTTTGGTTTAATTAGGTTTTATTTTAAAGATTACTTATGAATCTTTTGTCCCGGCCCTTTTCTTTGGGAGCTCGTTATCGTGCTGTTTGGCAACGCAGGAGTAGCTGCCTGAAAGGCTACAAAACTGGGTGAGATTAATAAATCATTTATCTAAATAGTATTTAAAAGTGGTAACTGGAAGTATTTGACATTTGTTTTTATTTTATTTCAGTTGATTTCAGAAGCAATGTTTATAGTTCTCATTTAGCTGTAGTTTTTATTTTGTACTCATATCGTTATGGAACATTATGGAAATGTTTTTAACGATGATAATCCTGCCTTGCGTACTGTAAGTACATAACGCACGGTTAGTTTGAGTAGGATCCTTTTTTATTCTAATGACGTCCACCCTGCACTTCTTAAACATGACTGTTAAGAGCAGCTTTGCTCTACAGCGCCACCCCAGGTCTGGTGTTAAAGTTCACTGATGCGCACACGCTTTCACGTGCAATATGAATCAGCCCAGCAATGTCATATAAACCATCCCCCACTGCACCCAGTTTTGCAGTCTTTCAGGCACGTACCCCTGCGCTGCCGAAAAGCACGAAAAGGAGCTCCCATAGAAAGGGGCGGGACAACAGGCTCAGAAGTGAGTGAATGTTCAGAATCAAAAGCATATTAAGAAAAACCCCAAAACCTGAATATGGGGACACTGCTGCTTTTATGGCTTGAACACAGGGCAAATAATCAGCCAGCAGGGGGCTTAGCGGTTAGCAGATGAAATACCTCGGAAGCTGGAATGAAAGTGTGCCCGCAGTAGGAGTCCCACCTAAATTGTGGTAGTTAAAATAATTACCCTGAATCAGCAGGATGTTTTTGGCCGAGGAACATGTGGCCTGGTGCTCACGTGACGCTTCAGGGCAGCCATGTTGGGAAGGTTGACAGTGAGCTTTGATCTTCATGACTCACAGTGGAGCCCCCAGACTGCTGGAATCAGGCTCCCTGGGGGGCCACATGTGCTACAGCCCTGCATCGTAACCGGTTACCTCCTTTGTGGTGTATTTGGGGCCAAGATCCTTTTACATGAGGTCACTTCCTGTTAGAAAGGCCTGACTGTTGAACCTCCTTCCTTATGTGTCCAGGCTTTTTTTAATTGGAGAGGGTCGGGGAAGGTTCACGTGGTCACCCCTAGAGGCAGACCCTGGAATGGAGGTGCTACACCATGACATTGAGCTCTGTGTATGGAACAGAGGCGAGGCGGGGCGGGGCGGGGGCTAAAACTGTGGCACCCCCCCAGCCTGACTTCACACTCAGGCTGAGGGAGGCAGTGCTGACCATAATATAAGTGTGGAGGTTTGAATCAGTAATGGGCAAATGAAGCTTCATGAACCATTTGCTGTATTTTTTGACCCCACTAGATGGCACTCTTGGCTTGCTTTGGGACATGCTTTGAGCCCTTTTTTGAACAGACAGCACCATCTAGTGGAGTCAAAAAATATATCAAATGGTTCATAAGTATCATTTTGTCCATCACTAGTTTGAATCCCGGACCCCTTGAGTTATGCCAATAGGAATGAATGTCCCCACAATGATGACAATCTATGTAAGCCACAGGAAGGTGCCGCAGTTTCCCAGTTGTGAGGTTCTGAGTGCCTGGATTCCTGGGTTTGGCTATGAATGCCATGCATTATCTTCTAGAGCAGATGGGACAAATGGCTGTGCAAACACCCCAACACAGTGTGCTCACTGCTCTCCAGGGGTGGGTGGGTCACACAAATGATCGATTTAATTTTCCCCTCTGTGTCTGTTTTACACATCCTGATGCAGGTGAGTGCTGGGCAGGTCCGCAGTGTAGTTTGTGAGTCGCATGGATTGGGTTCAGTGAGGGAGCTTCAGCTGTCAGGGAGGGGGTCAGGTTAAAGCCCTGTCACTATGACTATAGGTCCACCTGGCCTGGGTTCGGCTTCCTCTTGGCCCAGCGGCCTCTAACTACCCCTCTAGTGGGTGGGGTAATTCCAAGGTAAAGGGCCACTGCTGTTTGTGGGTATGCAGTCCCCTGCATTAGCTAATGGGATGGGGGGCATGAGCTGGGTTAGGTCATCACACCCAGCCTGTAGCTCTCTGCGATGATTATGCTGATGAGGCAGCAATCAGGGATGGAGCAGGCAGGTATCTTGCTGCACTGGAATGCCCAAGGGTTTAAATGAGATGCTGATTGGTGAGCGTGTGGCTAATCAACCCCCCCCCCTTCTCTGCTATGTGGCTCCCTCACTGCCTGTTTGGTCTTTTTAATTATCTGTGGTGGTTGCTGGCGGCAGCAGCTTCCTCCTCTTCCTGTTCAGCCCTGAGGTTGGCGATAGTTGTTCCACTATTCGAAGCTCTATTGGGTGTTGGTGCTTGGGTAGCTGACTACGTCATGTGACTGATCATGTTGCCGTTCTGTTTCTGTTCTTTGGTGGTCGAAGGACATTCTCTGACGTCTGCTGATGATTCTGCTCCACTTCTCTTCCTCAGTTATCTGCCGTGGTTTGAAGTCTTCTACAAGATCCTGAATATTCTTGCAGACTACACTGTTAAAGGCCAGGTCTGTATGCACGCCAACCTCCCCAAGAATTTCAGTTTATAAAATCTGTTTTTTCTTACTAAATTTGCACTTTCTGCTGAATTATTAGTGTAATCTATGATTCTGTGTTTAGTTTCAAAATGATTCTAAGCTGTACGGGTTCTTCAAGGCCCTGAACTAGGACACCTTCTGCATTTTTTAATTGTTAAGGGAGTCAGGGAGCCTGACTGAGCAGGAGAATATTCAGTCGGCTTTCCTGACACTCTCAGTATCTTGCAGTATATTCTCTGAATATGTGTATGCTTGCATGTTGGATTTCAGGAGAACCAATGGAGGGAGCTGTTGGAAACGCTGCATTCCCTCCCCATCCCTGAGCCTGGAGTGCCCCTTCATCTCAGTGTGGTGGGTTTTCGTCCACAGACGTTCTGTACCAACATGAGTATGGGGGTCCTCGAGGATTAGTTGTCTATTATGTTACGCTATGCCAATGCCCACGGGCAGCTGTTAGTTAACCATCATGCCACCACGGTCTGAAATGCTGCCCATCACTGAAGTTATAGGTTACCTGCTGGCCAAGGTCAACAGTAAACTTTAATCAAAGCAGTTACTTGTTCACTTGTCATAATCTTGACTGATCCTGTGCCCCCTCATGCAGCATACCTACTTTACTGTGCCTGACCTCAGAGAGCTGCCCAGCATCCCGGAGAATGTGAGTGGCCCATTCATCACTCACCGCCCATGTTCCATGTTCTGGCTTGGTTAGAAGCCTTTGCGGCCTTCCTCGTCTTCCAAGGGATACAGAGAAGGGCCGACCAGGGACCATACTCTCTGGGGCTGGTTTCTGTTTACACCTTTATCAGAATCACAAATTCCTATTCTAGGACCATGCACCAGTGTCTACTGTGCATATCTTCTCCAGACCAGCTCCCACTCTACAGACACATAGGTTTCTCCCACACAGGTTTTCTGTCTTGTGGTTCTTTCAGGAGACTTCTCAGAGGTTCTCAGAGAGGTTCTCAGAGAAACTTCTAGGAAGGTTCCCAGGCAGCTTCTCAGAGAAGTCCTTAGGGAGGTTCCCAGAGAGATTGAGGGAGCTTCTCAGAGAAGTCCTTAGGGAGGTTCCCAGAGAGATTGAGGGAGCTTCTCAGAGAAGTCCTTAGGGAGGTTCCTGGAGAGATTGAGGGAGCTTCTAAGAGAAGTCCTTAGGGAGGTTCCCGGAGAGATTGAGGGAGCTTCTCAGAGAAGTCCTTAGGGAGGTTCCCGGAGAGATTGAGGGAGCTTCTCAAAGAAGTCCTTAGGGAGGTTCCCGGAGAGATTGAGGGAGCTTCTCAAAGAAGTCCTTAGGGAGGTTCCCGGAGAGATTGAGGGAGCTTCTCAAAG